CCGGCAGGGGAGGGGGTGTTGGGGGTGGGGATAGATATAAAACTTCAGATTAATATGGTTGGGGATAGATATAAAACTCCATTGCTCAGACATTGCATCAGCTAGAGTTAGCACAACCATTGAAAAGTTCTTCAAGTTCAAAACAATTGGGATATTGGCATTGCTCACCCAAGTTGAAGAGCAAGATCCAACTTTATTTGAAGCTGAGTAAAGAGATCATGAAATCCAAGGCTGTAAAATAACTATTAGAACCCCTTTCCCATGTGTGTGCATGAAAGGTAACAGGTAGATTTGTTGATTTTGCTTTTTGCGTCAGAGATGAGATTGGGTTCATTTGATAATTTAATTTTTTTAGTTATCTTCGGTAAATAAGTCTTTTTATGTTATAGAGAACTGAAGGATAGAGTTGGAATTTAATTTGAGAAGATGAAGGGCTAAGATTTAAGAGTGACTAGGGTTTCTTATGGGGAAAGTGACTTAAGGTTATTTTTATAAATATGTAAGAAGGAAAACAAAACTCGAAGTATTGAATTTTGGGTCTCATAAAAGATTTTTTTATGTTTTATTTTCCTTCTCTGATTTTCCTAAATCATGTTGTAATATGCAATGCACTCTCATGACTCATGTTACAAAAAAATCATACAATCTTCGAAGGAATATTCATCATGGGAAAACAATGGTATATACATGGTCAAGGGAAATTATGACATAACCCAATACATTGTAGAAATCCCCATTCACCCTCCACTAAAGCCATGGATAACGATGGAGTAACAGTGGCAACCACCCTCACGTGAGTGGCTCCATGTCAATCTCTATCACTGTCCATCACTTCAATGTATAAGGAAGATCCAACATGACCGGGGTTTTACCATACTGCAGTGGATTAGAATATACTTTGCCCATGGTAAAACAAATGTAACTAACTACATATTTATCAATCCATATAAACACCAGAATGGGTCCTTTCACAACTTTATAGTGATTCAACTTAGCAACATATTTTAACAGGAATGTTCAACAAACCCCTTTTCTGCTCACCTCGTTATTTTCCGCTTGACCCTTCAATGGCTGACAATGTAAGCTCTTGCAGAAATTGTCATGAACAGTATCAATGATCACAAAAGAGGAATGCTTTTCACGACGTAAGGTATCAAACTGTAAATGATTATCTACACAGAAGCCTAAGAAGGCTTGTGGTGTATAAAATATTTCACTTTGCAAAATACCATCCTTGTCCTTGGTACTTGAAGGAGGATCATTCATCTCAACCTGCAAGGAGTTAATATGTGGTGTTAATATCGCCAAAGCATAGCGATCAAAAAGCTAAATGAAGCTGTAAATAGAATTTAGTAAGGGTAAATATAACCTAATAAAATGGAAATGGGTAAAGCAATGTCGATTGGATCATCAACCTCCATTGATGGGATGGAGAGTGATGGAGAGAAGTAAGGTTTCCATGTCAGTTCAAGTGAACCCAACACACACTCCATCATGGCCCATCTTTCAAAGTGGTTTGCAATGACCCAATGGACCACGATTTTTATATAGTCCACCATACTATACAGTCACATTTAAGAAATCTATAAAATATTAAAAGTTGAAATGCACTTAAGATAATCCATGTATGATGAAATTTAGATGAGACTTCATGTTCAATTGCTCTACTTACAGGAGAAAAGGAATGCCTTCCCCTTCTGTTACAGGGAATTCGATTCTTGCAATCACCATTTTGTTCGGCCTCATAACAACTTCAAGATAAACAAAAAATTAGTTAACATTTTAATCATTTAAAAGTTAAAAACTGCTTTTGATTCAAATAGATATTGCATCGCATACTGACCGAATTAAAAGGTGAAATTATAAGTTCTTTAAAATATCCACTTTAGTGCATTTTTGCAATTAAATTCTATGGCATTCATTCAGTTTACGAAAGCTTTTCTTTTCTGTTCTTAATAAAACATAGATGATATGATTTTCCAGAATCATGCGAGTTTATCTTAAGACCAACATTTGAAAGACATAAGTCACTTAGAATGGTAAATTGTAAAAATTCATTCACTATATCAAAATAAGCACTTACTTCTCACAAAGATAAAAATTTTCACACAACATACAAACCCGGAGCTTCCTAGATAATTCAAATTCACCACAGTACTTGCATGCATGCTGCTTGTGAACCACAATAAAATCCTCCCTCTTCTACGAATGGAATCTCCAAGCTGGCAAAGGAAATACAGTGTAAATTAGCATTACATTCAATAAGATGAACAAACTAACAAAGAAAGAACCACACAACCCTTAAAAGGTGGAAAGAATGTTAAAGTTCCCAAGAAAATGGCAAGTTAACTAATTAAAGATGTTATCTTTGTAAAAAAGTGGCATCTGAGGACAAATGTGGTTTTTTGATAAGTGGTCGAGAATGTTAAATATATAACAGTTCAAGTAGCAAAAAAAAAAAAGAATGGTTTTGAAA